CTGCACCCACCCTGCTGAGCTCACCCCCATATACCCACCCCCATATACTCACCCTGATGTGCTCACCCCCTATACGCACCCCAATAACGTTTACTCAGCTATACCCACCCTGCTACGCTCACCCTGATACACCCACCCCAGAATACCCACCCCAATGGGTTCACCCCAATATATGCACCCCAATATGCTCACCCCAGCATACCCACCCTGATACACCCGCCCCGATGGGCTCCCCTGATATTTCCAACCCCATGTGCTCACCCTTATACCCACCTCGATGTGCTCATCCCAGTATACCCACCCCCGTATACCCACCCCGATATACCACCCTGATGGGCTCACCCCAACATACCCACCCCGATGTGCTCACCCCCTATACGCACCCAAATACGTTTACTCAGCTATACCCGCCCTGCTACGCTCACCCCGATACACCCACCTCAATGTGCTCAGCCCAATATGCTCACCCCAGTATACCCACCCTGATGGGCTCACCCCAATATACCCACCCTCAAAAACCCACCCCAATATACTTGCCCTGATGGGCTCCCCCTGATATTCCCAACCCCTTGTGCTCACCCCGATACACCCACCCTGATGTACCCACCCTGACGTGCTTACCCCAGTATACCCACCCCAAAATGCTCATCCCAGTATATCCACCCTGTTGGGCTCAACGCTATGTGCTCACCCCCATATACCCACCCCATATACCCACCCCAATGTGCTCACCCCAATATATGCACCCCGATATGCTCACCCCAGTATACCCACCCTGATGAGCTCACCCTGATATTCCGAAACCCATGTGCTCACCCTTATACCCAAGCCAATGGGCTCACCCCAATATACCCACCCCGATGTGCTCACCCCAGTATACCCACCCCCACATACCCACCCCGATGTGCTCACCCCCTATATGCACCCCAGTACGTTTACTCAGCTATACCCGCCCTGCTACGCTCACCCTGATACACCCACCCCAGTATACCCACCCTGATGGGATCACCCCAGTATATGCACCCCAATATGCTCACCCCACTATACCCACCCTGATACACCCACCTCATTGTGCTCCTCTTGATGTTCCCAACCTCATCTGCTCACCCCAGTATACCCACCCTGATGTGCTCATCCCAATTTACCCACCCTGCTGGACTCAATGCCATGTGCTCACCCCCATATACCCACCCCTATACGCACCCCAATGTGCTCACCCCCTATACGCACCCCAATACCAGCCCTCTGAAGCCGGCGTCTCCATCTGCTCCTGCCGCAACCTACGGCACAGCAATGCCAGCCGCGCTGAGGTCATCGTCACCGGTAGGTTGCTGTCAAGGAGCTGGGGGGACACACAGACTGGGACAGAGTGGGGGGAACGGGGGCTCAGCTCTCCCGTCTCGGCGCAGAGACCCCCGGCAAAGCCATCACCGTCACTGTGGAGG